AAAATTCAGTTAGAAATTAGGATAAAACTTATCAGTTAACCTTTCTATAGACTGCGATTGAGCGTTGGAGGTTCATAAAAGCCGCTGGAGTTCAACAAAAACGAGAAACTGCGCTGAAATCTTGCGCAGAAAGTCGCCACATAAATGCTGGTCTATCTCGTTATGGAGTGAGATTCAAGACCCGCGACGTTGTCAGTGCTCCTGGCCGTGTCATGAGGATCACAACGATATATAATATTATAGGGTTTCGTTATGACCCCGCGGAGATCAATGACCAGAGCCAAATGCCCCGCCGGCTCTGGTCTCTCTCCGCTGCTCGTCTGCGTCTTCGCGCGCTGCGCGCTACCTCGCTACCCCAAGCGCGGGGCGCGGGGCATTTGGCTCTGGTACCCTTTTCTTCGCTGTTTCGAACCCAATTTTAGCAAGCTATGTATCATTTTGAAGCTCTTGATCTCTATTTCCACGCTGACAACGTCGCAGGACTCCTTTTTATGACTTAAACAAGAAATCCGGCAAAAACCTTGTTTTTGAAAATCTCTCGTTTTTCTCCCAGTTTGACTCTTTTCACGCAGTTTTTTTGTGTAGTCGATAGGTCTTGTTTCTGTCTATAATGTAGACAACGTCGCCGAGCTTATTTCTTTGCTTATGCCGCTTTTTTTGTAGAAATTACTAAAAAATGCGTTTTTCTTTACCTTATTCTTTTTCGGTAGTTTCGCAACGAATTTTCTCCACCTTGACGATACTTGCTCAGAATGATGAGCGGAAGAATCCAGACAACGTCGCAGGGTACAAGAGGGACGGCGCGGGGGTAAAAATTTAAAGGACGCATCAAAAATCAAAACCCCGTGTTGCGAATTGCTGGTTCTGGAGCGAAAACTTGCACTCTGTAAAGCCGCCAAATGAAAGGTTTCAAATCTTATTGCAGCGTTTTTATCCGGTTTAAAGCCGTTTCTTTTGCTTTTTATGTCTGTTTTACGTCATATTCTCTTCTCTGATCTTCTTTGAACAACCTTCACCATTTGTGACGTCAGATGTTCAAACAACCTTCACTTTTGGCGCCCTGTCTCTAGACTATCGAAGGTATGGCTAAACCCCATTGCGAGTTTTCGTGCATTGTCAGATTGCGTGATAGGTGCAAGGGACCCTATGTTTTGCTTACCTGTAGCCCGTGCGCGTCTAGTATAGCACCCCCGGAATGTGCAAACGTATTTAAAGTGGGATTTGTTGAGGTCAACACTTACTCGTGAAGGAATGAGATGTGGAATTGCGGGCGCCCTTAGCCTAGACTACCAGTAATGCTTTCCGAAATGCGTGTTTTTGTTTGACCACTTGTGGCTATGTTTCCAATTTTGGACTGCCCCTCGGCAACCTTCCTTGCTACGGCCATAGTGTTTCGTTTATCTAAATCACCTCGAATGAGCTGTGTGGAAGCTAGGGTTTGCTACCAGCGCAGCTATCGTGGAAGAACGGCCAAGTGTAAGAGTATAAATGAATTTTCTTTGCCCTAGCTACTCTGTCTACCGACAGTTCTACACTCATCTCATGCAAATCAATAATGGATCCTAACCACCTTAATGATTGTGCAGGGCTACAGCTACATTCCCTTCACCGAAGAAATTCCTTCCTTGCTGAGATTGGCCTTGACGATGGACTGCATGAGAGCAGATTGAGCTGGAAGATCGGAAGATTGGTGCGCTATCTAGATATATATAGCGACACAAGCCGAGAGCTTAATAGGCGACTTCTTAATAAATAAATGAAGCTTAGTGAATATGCGTGGCGCGCAGGAAAGGCCAAACGCAAAAATTGATAAACTTCTCCTTGCCATTCGTAATTAGAATACTTTGAATGATTGTGGCAGATTCTGACGTGGTGGTGGCCATAGGTGCGATAGTGTGAATTTGCTCACCCCCTCTTCACCCCTGAACCGGGACCAAGGTTACCACCACCTTCACCAAAGCCGAGAAAAAATCAACACTGAGGTAAGGCTAAGCAAAGGAGATATTTGTATGGGAATTGTTTGTGTGTCGGGAAAGGAGGAAGAAGATTTGTGGGGATTCACGAACTTTCAGAAAGGAAAAAATAGCAGTTTCTGTAGCTGCACAGCTAGTCAGTGAGGAAAGCCCCGGTACAACGTTTCCATCTGACTTCAGGGAATAAATTGTTTGCCTAGAGTTCGTCCACAGAGTTACCTAATGAAAGGTGTGCTTAGTGACTTCTGACTTACGAGTTTTAACATAAAAAATCATATACAGGGTGTCCCAAAAGTATGATGGACTGTTTGATCGTCAATATCTCTCTTCCCAAAAAGTTTTTTGCCTTTCTTCAGGTACCGTTTTGTAGAGCTTGCTTCTTAGAATTACAGTATGGAGCGAATCACCGATGGCTCTTCATTACTGTAGGATTACGGTAGAAACTTCAAGGAGGTTTTAAGCCATGAAAGGCCATATTTTGCCTCAGAAAGAAAACAAAACAGCCTGAAAACTTTTACACTAGGCTAATTAGAGTTGCTGACTTTAATTGTAAAGTTCCCAACTTTTTATGATGCTTCAATGAAGAGTTATGTCAGGTAAGAGGTAGCGGCCATTTTTTCGATGTTCCTAAAAAGTGCGGTTACACCGTCTAGAAAGCGCAATCATGTGAATAGTTGAGTATTGAACTTAGCGTCCATAAAAACCCTATTATACAAGTTTTCACATTTTTTGGAGAGATTTTGAAACGGCAGCTTTTTCCATATTGACACCATATGTTTCAAGTTTCTACCGTAATCCTACAGTAATGAAGAGAGATGGGTGTTCGTTCTATACTGCAAATCTAAGTTGAAGCCAACTCTACAGAATGGTACCTGAAGCAAAGCAAAAGACTTCTTGGGAAGAGAGATTTTAACGATCAAACAGTGCATACATACTTTTGGGACACCCTGTATTTTGTAGATGAATAGCTGGTACAAGGAAATAGTAACCATCAAAACCGCCTCGTCCTCCGCTTTCAAAAAATATAGCATTTCTGAGATCCGTCCAAAAAGTGCCTGGGTGAAGGGTGTGTCTAGTGAAGTGACTTTCAAGGATTTAGTTTTCAACATAAAAATTCATAACTTTTGTAAATGAAGATCTTGTACGCCGAGATAGAGTCACCATTGGAACCGCCTCGTCCTTTGCTTTCAGAAAATATCTACTTTGCTTGGGGCTCCTCATAACAAAAAGTGCCGGGTGAAGGGTGGATGAGACTTTTATAATGGGAGTGCTCAAGTGGAGGCTTTTTTTACCCTGTGAAAAGACGTTGGAAAGATTTTTTGCTGGGACTAGCTGGCATACTTCATCAAATACGAAGTATGTCATCAAAAAGCTTTTGAATTGTTTTTCGGTCAGCAATTCAGCAATTTTTTGTATGGAAAGTCTTGGCTACTCTATCCATATGCACATCCAACAAAAACTTTTAGGAAGCTTCTCAACTCAAACAACTTTTGTTTCGAGTAGGCTGAGTATTCGGATTTCTCATGACCGCAGCCAAAAATCTCCATTACGAACCGTTGGTTTTTCTTTATACGCAAAACAAGTTCCTTGCGTATTCATATACTTCATGTAGACCTAATTCACTTTTTCACTTTTTAATCTACTTGTGACCTAAAAAAATCATCAAATTGTTTCTTTTGCAATTAAATTGTGCCAAAAAATTATCAACAAACAGGCAAAATCCCAGTCTCCATGATTTGTACTAATTCGTAACTAGATTCGAGATTCTTGAATTTTTGAGATAGTTTTAACAAGCTTCAAAAAATGCTCAAAAACTTTGAAAAAGACGCTTTTTTTCACAAAAGAATGTGTGCAGCATGACTTCAATTTAATCTTCTGTGTTGTACAGGTTTTTAATGAAGAATCACTTTATTGCCTGAGGTTTCAGTTACACACCTCTTCAAAGATGTCAGTCACGTCGATATCACTCCACTTGCTGCCACGCCCTCCTCCCATCTGCGTACTCGAATTTCTGAGATGAAGATTGAGAATCTAGGCGAGAAATCTACTCATCGAGTGTCATTTGCAGCAGCGTGTATCTGCTACAGAAATTGCTCGATGAACTGCAGTGACGAAATGAGCACTCCGAATAGTATGAGACCGCTTGAGTACAGACCAGCTATCTCATAGCTACATAGCAAGATATGGCAGTAGATCACTTTTGTTAGACAGAAAGCTTTTCATTCGTGCCGTTCATGGCAGCAAGTGGCTATCAAAATGGCTGACACCTTTTCAAGTCCTCTGAAGACGGTATGTAATCGAAACGTCAGGCAATAAGGAGTATCATCATTAAAAACCTCACAGAAGATCAAGTGAAGTTAAACGATGGCACTTTACAAGAGAAAAGGACTTATTACAACTATGTTTGCGATTTTCGAGATTGGTATTAAGATTGGCAAACGCTCTCGATGAAAAAATCCTTTAATTAATATATAACTGCCGTCGATTCGTTGGACCGCACACTGAACATCATTGCGGAGCACGCGTCGCGAGCCGCGAGGTGAAACGCTTACCCCATTACAAAATCGCCATTTTACAACCCGTGCTCTCGCAACATTTCAGCCGCACCGCGCCTGATCTGCAACGCTTGTGGAGTCCGTGCGGTCGAAGAGTCGACGATAAACTGTTCCCAGTGCATAGACTGCCACTAAGGACTGTTACAGGAGTCTTACAACATCCAACTAGAAGACTGGATTCTTGTAAAACACTGCGATTTTTGCACCATCTTCCTCGCGTTCGCTAGCCCAGCGCTCAAACCCAGGGAATCTGGGTAACTTGTTAAGCGAAAACCGGTATGCTTGACTTTTGGTTTCGCAAACCCACTGGGCTCGTTCATGAGTACCGATTAAGTGACTTTTTTGTGGTTTCCGGAACCACTGGGACTTAATACACTGAGTTCGTTGAATAATGCCGCTACATGAAACTACCCGGACATATTTTATCCATACTTCAGAATCCTACCGTCGAAAAATGAATTCTTGAATTCGAGCACATATCAATTAATGCTTTTATACTATTATTTATTCTTTGAATACCAGACGTACTGTCAAGGAAGTGTTCAATGTTACTCGCACAACTATACGGGGCTGGAAGATGGAATAAAAACAGAAGAGTAAAAAGGGGTCTGGGTGGACACTCAAAGAACAGAAGAGAAGTGTATGAAAAGAAAAAATGACGTGGCTAGAATGGTTGAGGAACAAAGTACGACAGAGAGAATATCCACCGCAACTGTTCAAAATACAAAACTACAAAAGAATTGACGCAGGCGTCAGGAGTGATAGAAAAAGTCCAAGAATGGAGGTGGACTGCAGTTTTGGAGTCTCATTTTTCGTGTAAATGAACACATAACAATAAATACAACGCATTTTCTCGTGTAAATGGGGATGGGACGCAATGAAACAAGCAAATACAAAGCGTTCTCACTACGGCCACTAAGAGAAAGCCAAAGGATTGGATGAGTAGCAAAGCGTAGGTGGATTCTTGCATCTAAGACGAAAACAAAGTAGGAGACAGAAAGGACGCAACTTCTGTAACTGTACTTAGATCACAACGTTCGACAAAGAAATTCTGTCATTAAATCAGTCAAATTTGGTTGACTCCTAGAGAAGAACAATCAAAATCAATTATTTTGTATACGAATAGTTCGTGGTTCCCTGGATGGAAAGCATAAATTTTCGGTGATGGGGTAGCAGCTATCAGCTGAAGATAATGTTCATGCTCAGAATGAAGGAGGATTTTGATCTATAAAAACTCATCCTCACACCGCAAAATAATGCAGAGGGCACGGCAACGGTCATTTATAGTACTGGTACTACGGTATGCAAGAAAATTCTACTAGGCGAAAAAGGAACATTATAACAATGACCCGGTGCACAGCACGTCGCAACGCGGTGTAGGAGAGGACACAGTAAAGAAAGAGAGATGAAGGAGCGCGTGCATCACCCGGCCACCATATTTTGGAGGGCTGGCTGGCTGCATCGGCATCGTTGTTGCATTTATTTCTTCCCCACGGGCCTGGCTCCGCCTACTGCCGGTCGTCCACTGTTCAAACCAGCATATTGATACTTCGCCTTCTTCTCTGATGGCTTCAATATCTGAAGAGGAAAGCATGTACTAGGAATAACTGGAGAACTATTTCCTAATGAACTAGTGAACCAGTAATCTAAAGATACTATTTGCAAGAGCGCTCGCTTTGGGACCGCCACGCGGTTTCCCGCTATTTGCAGATTTTTGAATTGCGCTTACGTTTCTTTATATATTGAAATTCGAAACCAGCATGAACGCAAGATGCAACTCGCCCAGCTGCCCAGCATTACCGTATTCCCACAGTGTAGAGGTCGGAGAAACTTTGTTTGAAGAGGGGGGAAGAAATGTCGACAGTTTCTTCAGATAAAAGGACGTAAGAAGTCACAATTTCAATTTTTTGGACGCTTGCCGACTTTTTAACGGGGTGTACTCTCAAAATCAATGTTTTAAAAGTTTCAATTAAAAAAAGTCGAACAGTTCACTTACTTACAAGTAAACAAATGTAGATTTTTCCTGAAAATTCGCAACCTTTTTCCCTATCCTGGCGTTGTAAGGCTTTCACGACAAGCTAATCATGGCCGCTAATATTATCATTATTATGAGATTCACGAGCCAAGAATATTCAAAAAAATAGCACTCAGAACTGGAGACAACAGAAATGGAAGGAGTGAATATGTAACCTCCTCTTTTTCAGTGAGACGAAAGGTAAGTACTAAATAAATATCAAACTGAGAAAGTACAGCACTGTTTCCCTTGCTGTCCCGTTACCCGTCACGATTACAAAAAAAATGCAAAGAAGTGCATAAAAGCTCGTAAATCACCATGCAAAAGCACAAACCTGGAAGCTGCACATCAATGTTTCATCTACACTCATCATACCACCAGCATTGTCAAATTCGCCGCAATAGTTTGGCGCGGAGAATAAGGTGACCAACTGCCGTTTAGCGAAAAACTCATAACCATCTTCAACGACCTGAAAAGAAGGAACCAATGAGTATATGTTGAGCTAGCAGTAGACTGGACAGTTAGTCTTGATCAAGTATGGCAGCTTCGAAATTGAGTGACTGTAAAACTCTAGTGTTGAATACTTGCAAATTACAGATCAATCTCATTTCACAATGATGACGATCAACGATCCCTCTAAGTCAGACTCAGTTTCCTGCATAACAAGCACAAAAAATTGAATTATGTTCCAAGTTACTTGGTACCGCTTGTCCATTTTGAACTGCATGCGTGACTCATGCTTTCAAAATCAGTTTTGGTACAACTTTAGAAAAAAAAATGGCATCATTTGAAATGACATCACAGTGCTTTCTATCGGGTTAAACGTCAATTAGCATAATCTTTCGGTGAATGGTTTCCAATACATGAAGTATTTGTGTTTGCTCCCATAGAGTTCGCCTATTGGGTATGAAACAATCATTTTACGCGATAATGCAAACTGGGAAGAAAGTCCTTCTAATCTTTGCTGAAAAAAAAAGCATTTACGACCTCTGGTAATGCTAGTTCGAGGGTCGCACTGCCGTTCACTTGAATGAGCGGAGGCGTCAAACGGCAATGAAAGCTTTGCGTGGACCAAAAATCATCTTCTCAAACATCAATAAACGCATGAGGGAACGAAGGGCGCGTGAACAGAGTTCAACGAGTGCCATAGGAAACGTTAATAGGTTACAACTGCAACACTAACCTGATGTGCTCGACATATCAAATCGAGATCATGTCGGTTCAAAAACTTTGCCACAACATCTGGACCGAATGTGAATGAGACGCCACGATCGTTCTCACCCCATCCGGTTACATCCTTATCAGGATCTGACCATAGTAAATCGCATAGAAGACCTAAACACTTCACTTCGCTTCAATAATATTTATGATTGAAAAATTCAAAAATTTTGCAGTTGTTCAAAGAAATCAAGTATGCATAGCACCTCGCACTCTTGAAAATTTAAAGAAGCGCTTTTCAAAACCCTGCTATCACACTGCAAAAGAATGAAGTGACAGGTCGCTTCAATAACATTTATGTTTTATTGAGATACTCAATAATGGAGTCAACTCAGCATAACAACTAATAATTTACCAATACCGAACCCCTACAGACAAACCCAAAAACTATCTCATGTTGATGCCATCTACACTACGTCCGCACGCATATGCAACTTCGCAACTGAAGGATAGGTTTACTCAGAAGCAACTACAGCGCTGCGCTGCGCTTCATCGCAGAAATGGAACGCAATTCTCTTACTGCGGAAAGGGACGTGCATATGGGCCCGAAACAAATCATTTTCTCAATTTAGATGCTCTGTGCAAACTGCCACTTATGCAGATGAATTCACAAGTTTTTCGTTGAACTGAGAATTTAATGAGCTTCAATAGATGTTCTTGCAGAAGGAGCAAGCGGTGCAGTCCATTATTCGCTTTCTTTCTAAGCTGATCATGAGTACGCCAAAAGCGCCATCCCAAAACAAAAAACAATGATGGATCTCATTTGGTGTTTTTATCCATGTTTGTAGAGATGCATATATAATCAAAGATTCCGCTGTTTTTATTTTACATTCCGATATTTCAGATGTTACTCTTAGCCACTGAATCTCCGAGCAATCACAACTTAAATGAGTCACGATCAACGCTTGGTGAGTTACGCAACATAATCGATGCACGGAAAAAAGAACGCTACAAAATGACTACCGCAACTGCCGATAAGGTAGGTAAGCCTACAACAACGCTCAGCTGAAAGGAGAAAGAACAATTTCGATTACTGAGCAGGTTTGTCCACTGCTTACTCGATTCTCCTTATCTACAAAGAATGAGCATATGAATTTCGCATGCAGCAAGAATAGCATCACTGGTAATTGCTGTGGAAGAGCAGATAAGAGGAATGAAAGCTGCCATAGGAGGCATGCATTTAAGTAGATAACTCACATGGAATGAACGAGAAAAAAATAAAACAAAATTAAGAAAACAAGAAAAACTTCCGCACCTGTATCTGGTACATCGGTTGGTCGCATGACACGTCGGATTTGTTCCATATTTTGTAGATCCGGCGATAAACCACCATGACAGCAGAATATCTTCTCATCAATTAGAGCAGCAATCGGTAGACAATTGAAGCAATCAGTGAATGTCTTCCATAGTTTGATTGAGAATCTGCGTTTACCTAAAAAAAGCAAAGGTCAAATGGGAGATCCTTGAGATAATGTAAACTGCAATAAATCATGAATTTTGAGCAACAAGAAGATAAGAGAATCCGTAAAAAAAGAGTAAAGGAGACATAAAAAAGTTTTAAAAAATTGAGTGAATTTGTACAAAGGATGACTGATCGAATCGACGAAAGAGTTGGGCTAGTCAGCGCCTACCTTTGCCAAGTTTCCGAGTGATATTCAATCAAGAATAAAGAACTAACAAGTTTATAGAAGTTTGCGATTGAATTAGCCGCAAGAACATAAACAAGAAAAAAAAATCACTTCCGAAACTAGTGACAAAACTGCGATTTTAATCGATATCGCACGATCAGTCACAGCATACAACTGCTGTCGGAGACAAGAAAAATGTACACTCCAACATAGTGAAAATACCAATTTTTGATTTTCCAAAACGATGGCAGATTAATTTGCACAACTAATAGAAACTTACATTCATCATAGAATCCATAAATCCTGTTAATGGAAGCACATTCGTGATTTCCTCTAAGCAAAAAGAAATTCTCTGGATACTTTACCTTATATGCCAAAAGAAGACATATTGTCTAAAACAAATAAACCGATACAAACACATTAGCAAACATAAGAACAATTACAAACCTCTAAGCTTTGTTTTCCTCTGTCTACATAGTCTCCAAGAAACAGATAGTTCGCTTCTGGTGGAAAACCTCCATATTCGAATAGGCGGAGCAGATCGTTGTACTGACCATGGATATCTCCTAGAATGTCAGGTAATGAAGTAGGTGAAAGATAAAAAAATATATATATTAGGTCGTTCCGAAAGTTCTTTCCGTTTTTTCAACCTATCATAAAAACACGTGGAATAAGGATAGAAGAACGCTTCAGGCACTATCCGATGCATCTTTTCTTCCTCTTTTCAATGGTCGTATTCCTGTGCCGCTAGCTCTTGTGGTCAGTGAGATAATGGCCGAAATTTCAAACCCATGGTTTTTACCATGCCCAACTTTGGCAGTTTTTCACAATCTTCTTTTTTGACTTTTGGAAAAGCTTTGATAGCAATCGGATAGAGTAAACAAAGTGCAATTTAATATAATTTTTTGGCACTTCCAGTTAGCTTCTCAGTTTTTTTTTTTTGAGATAACTTTTCCAGAAGTCTTCACTTTTTCGAAGTCACAAAACACACAAACGCTCCAATCATTAACAAATTTCGGATTTCGACACCTTCAAAAGTAATTTATGATTGCCCACTATTTTTACAAAGTAACTGAGTGTTTACCGCTTCAAAATGTAAGATTTCGCTATTCAAGTGTATACCCTTAGGCAGGATCAAAATCAAGAATTATGGAAATTTTACCGCCAAAACCCCGCACAAATTGGGAAGAAAAATGCTCAGTAGAAAGAGGAAGAAAAGCTGCATCGAATGACACTTTAGTTGCCTTTAGTTGTGCGCCGTTTTATATTCTGTGGTTCTTAGCATCACCAAAAGTGGAATTTGATAGCATCAGAAAAATAATTCTAGAAAAAATTTTTAGGTTAGCAATAGATGCCAAAAAATTCCATTAAATTGCACTTTGTTTACTCTATCCGACTGCTATTAAAGCTTCTCCAAAAGTCAAAAAAGAAGATTGAGAAATTTTGCTAAAGTTGGACATGGTAAAAAACATGGGTTGGAAATTTCGGCCATTATCTCACTGACCACAAGAGCAAGCGACACAGGGATACGACCGTTGAAAAGAGGAAGAAAAAATGCATCGGACAGTGCCTGAAGCGTTTCTTTACCCTCATTCCACGTGTTTTTATGATAAGTTGAAAAAACGGAAAGAACTTTCGGAACGACCTAATATATATACAGGGATTTAGTAATCAAGCAATTTAAAACGGAACAATTTTCTAGTGGAAAAAATACAACATGGAGCTTCCATCAGTCGGTTTTTGAATGCCTACCAAGCTGCTAACATACTATATTCTATGAATTTGTAATGCACACATAATGAGGTGCTTTGTAGTAGCACTGGGAGACCAAAAATGCACTGTGCATGCCTTGCTTCAAGATATAAAATTGCAAAGAATCAACTGAACTATTCAGAAGTCACCGGTAAGGACATTAAGATGCCCAACTGAATTGATTGTTCTCCGCCACATCCTTTCAGTATAAAGGCTGCATTCAATTTCAGCGCCGCACTTCTTTCCCAACACAATAAAACTTCAGCCTTCTACTTTAGCTGACGTTCAAGGTGAGGTATACTCCTATTGATTTACACAAACATTCATTTTACCACAAACTGTGTTAGCACCGGACACAATCTTTGGCTTTTAAGCAGTGAAAATTTTGAAAAAAAGTACACATGACTTTCAGAATTTTCAATTTCGTGAGAAGTGTGCTACGATTTGCAACTGGGCAGCAAAAAGCGGAAAATATTCGGGGAAACGATACATAGATCGAATATTCAAAAGACATAGCTGTGTTATAGTCAAAAGACTATAGCTGTGTTATAGAAGACATCCAACAGAAGTCGAGGGAAATATACAAAAGACCAACTCCTTGCGTTACCAAGGAGATAACCAACCAATAAAACAGCTGGAAACGATTAAAAACGAGAAAAGAGGGGAAATGACATACCACATATCTTTAACGGCGCTTCAAGCTCCAGTAAAATTGGTTGTGACAGGAATATTTCTCGAGATTTATGACAAAGAGCGCGGATTTCCGCCTCCGTCATAGTGACTGTTTTGCCTGGACGACATCCGCGAACTGAAAGATGGCATCCAATAAGAATACAATCATACATCTCCTTCACATGAAAAAAGGTGTTTTACCGCACATCCGTAATTCTGAACACAACAGTATATATCTTGAAAACTATAAATTTTTGTTATGAGCCCCGGCTGAAAAAAGAACCCACTCCGCCCTCAACAATTACGTCACTTTCACGCGATTTATCGCTTAAACATGTACTTTCTAACAGATTCATTACCCCAGCGCCAAATTACCCCATCACGAGAAAAAAATACATCTCGACTCCATCAACACTCCAAAAACAAGAAACGAGAATTCCACTTGCCTTCGAGTAGTCTAGTAATGAGGTTGTCAACATTCAATTCTCCTTCGCCTGACATCTCGCACTTTTTGATATGATGGCGATGCTCTCGTCAGCCTCAACCAGCTCTACCCAAAAAGGTGTTTCTGAAATTGCTTTGCACTCTACGATGATCGAAAGAGAAGTATCCACGTAAACACGAACACTATCGATGAAAGTTACTACACAAGAATGGAAGAAGTGTGCTTGCGAACAAGCCAACTTGGGGTGATGGATAGAGGAGTAATGTTTTCCCACTTGGTTTGAAAGTGGGGTAAGGCTTACTTAACAGAATATTTGGACAAAGTATCCGACAGAGTATTTACATCAAGAAATGGCGATATGCAACAAATTTGCAGAAAAAAACTAGGAAGAAATGATGATGCAAGGTATCTACGAAATAAGATAGACATATGCCCTTCGAAATTCTTGAGAGACTTTCCCGATTTTTCGGGAAGCTTTTAGAACCGGGAAATGAAATTTAAGCTAAACGATGTTAAATCAGAGAGATCTTGGACAATGTGTAGAACTTTGCGGTAGCTGGAATTAGAAAATCTACAAACTCCACCATGAACGCGAAATCATCAAATCTTTCGAGGAAAAAAGTTGCAGCGATCATTCCCACCACGAAAAAAATGGGTATTGAGATACCTCCCCGGAACATTTCGTTTAATTTAGCCCAAAAGAAGTAAGATTACCTCAGATAATAGAGCACAAAGAGAAGAGCAATACCTTACACATGGACATTTCTATCAAAAATGGTCTCAACGAACGTACAAAGTTAGACCGGATAACAATAATCTAAGGAGGGAAAATACTCTCATCTCGCTTTCCCAGTAAGAGACAGAGAGACTGTTCTTACTCGTTTATCTTTTGTTCTGGTTGAGATCCAAAGAAAACGCTTCTAGACGACGAAGAAAACCATTTTTGCATAGTCGACAATATGAGACCTCTTTCTATATACTTTTTCCAGTGTTTGTCATAAGACTAGTGACGTAGACCATTATTAAGTCAGGACTTGCAAAATATTTCCAACTGCAGTGCATTCCAGCAACCATAAACACAACGGTGCTGCGTGTTCTATGGAACCAGACAATATGCTTCAATTCGAATGCCTAACATTATTCGTATTCCATTAGGGGCACTTACATCTCTATAAAACCTAAAGAATAGACTTTTGGACTTCTGCATTATGGCGGTCTCTTTCACTACAAGAATCTGTGAGGGAAAACACGATAAAGAAGCCATATTCCTTCCGCGACGGAGTTTGACACGAAATTTATTACTTAGCGAATAGATAAGCTGTACATGCAAGAAGATTAGATACGAGTCATCTCCGAAAAAAAAAACGAGTCATCTGTTGGCAGACCCAGAAAGAAAAAGAAAATGCTTTTACATCGTCGGGATTAATACCATTACCGTCATCAGAGTTTGAAACACTGAAAAATCTGCAAACATTCTTGATTGAACTATTCAAAAACTAAAAAAAATAGAAGCAAATCTATACTTAGCTCAAAATATTGTGCTCATCATTCAATTCAACTTTTCAGATGTAAAAATTGTTTTCTAAACAAAGTGAGCTCTAGTTACTTCTACACCACATTGGAAATTGAACGCTGAACCTAGGCTCATTTCCATTATCTGCCGAGAGCCTCTGGACGCCAAATCGTGAGAGTTTTGCGTTAAAGAAATCAAACTTATAATCGGCACAAAATCGTCAAATTGCTAGGTCCAATAATAGTATCAGGGTACTTATGAAATAGATATGTCCAGTCTGAAAACTCGAGACTATTGCACTGGAGCTCTGGAGGGACCTTAATGATTGATTTTACCTAGATACCATTTCTTTCTGTGCTCCAGAAAACAATCATCCACAATAGCTAGGGAAGTAATGAAAACAGATCCAGATAGTTAACACATTCATGACCATACGACCCACTGGTGAGCCGTACGTGTCCTGCCATTTCGGACAATACGACCCACCGATGGGTCTTAGGCTTGCTGAAGTTTATAGTCTTGCTAGTTTGAGATCTGACTTCTTGGGCAAACTCAATGAACTTCTGTACACCTCCCTTGGGATATTTCTCAGAAGATTAACATTTCAGACCATAAGACCCATCAGGGGTCCAGAAAATATTACGCTAACTCAATATTGCGAAATGTTGTCGAAATGCCCTGGTCCGAAATGGCAGTCATCGAAAAATCGTCTTTGTCGTGAATGTGTTGATGCTTAATACAGTGGTACAGAGCCAAAAACATTTTCTCAGCTAGCCTTAATGATCCCCTAGCTGGAGATCCGTGAATCTTCCCTACACCTATGCATATACATTTGTTTGCCCTTCCATTTTGTTATTGCAAGAAATAAAGACCAAGACAGGACAAGACAAAAAAATAATGGAAAGTTCAAAAATTTTTGCATACTATATTTAGCGGCAAGCATTGATTTCCCATAAAATTTCGGCGTCATTTACTCGCTTACAGACCAAAGTAGGCTCACAAAGCAGCCTCGGGATGTGATTCATAGCCTGCATAAAGGGCCAGAAGAGTTCAGATCGGCGTATCTCTGCCACTTTCGAAAGCGAAAAACAGCGCAAAAGAGCGGATATTTGGAGTGCCAAAAAAGTGCCAAATAAAGTCCATTACGTTTACTATGACACCAGACTAGCACTCATTGTTGAAGGCGTGAAGCACATAGAAAGAGACAAGCAACGAACAGCAAACGCCGAAAGAGAGTGTGGGTGTCCGTATCGATTGACACGACACACACACACTCGCACCGCATGCTCTGTCGGCGGCGCCCGGCATGCGCTGCGTTCCCTCAAAAGGAGAGCGGAGAGAGAGACCTTCGGCATGTTTTCACACCCCAATTACTGCGATTTCGTTTTTCGCGATTAAACTGATTGTCACCTGAGTTAGCGATACGAACACGCAATGTTCAACACTTGAATGAGAGAATAACTTCCACGTCAGTGGAACTCCAGTAGAATCTCCAATGAAAAGAAAACCAAATGGGTTTTTGGAAGAGAAACTCAAGCGAGGGCTATTCCAAAACACAACAATCAAATACAGTATTCTAAGTCGTTTGAGAGAAGTCAAAGAAAAGAAACAAAAAAAATAGATTTTCTTGAATCAAACAAAAACGATGAACTGTTGAACTTACTGGGAACCTTCGAACACTTTCATCAGCATCAAAATCAGAAGATCCCTGCTAAATTGCATTTTTCCATTATGAAAGGTAAAAGCATATGGACAAATGTGATGCAAGGTTTGATATGAGGTAATTCACAAAAAAAACATTATTTACGACAGATGACAAAAACATTTTCTATCCCCTACGATTTATGTTATACATGATGGAGAAGTATTCTCGTGTGATAAGTTCTATTATTTACCATCTCTTGCAAGTCTCGGCCTTATCAATAAGAACAAAGAAGAGAGATTTTCAAATATCTCTCAAAAACAAGCTCAAAGAACTCTCAACTTGAGAGCAGACATTAAAAAATGGGGAACCCCAAGCACTATACATGCAACGCTGAAGGGCACGCCATTATGACAGAAAGTTCAAAACAAGGATAATATATGTAAATCACCTAACTTATGAAGTGACGACGTCGACGTCAGCAGCTTTATGTTCTTTCGCATCTCAATGGCGTAATGCCCATACAACGACAAAAAAAAGGTTGACGAAATATCCTCTGCTGGATAATGCACATATGAAGCAAACGGAAGACAAGAAATTCAGAAAGAAAAATTGTCGATTCTCGATAATAATTTTTGGATTCCTTCATCTTTTGACTCATTCATGAAGAAAGCTCAAGTAAAGATTAGCTGTCTCATGCTCCAAAGAAAACTTTATAAACTTGATAAGAACAACGGATGAAGGAATGAGTGACGTCGTCAAACATGGACAAAGGGCAATCAAATTTTCACTAGAAATTAATGGTTGTACTATAACATGCACAGTTCAAGAGCACTAGAAAGTGGAAAAAGTGACTCTAACATATTCGATCAAAAACATTTTTTCACCTGCCTGAGCTTTCCGACATATTTATTGTAACACGGGCGAGAAATATAACAAGTGTTCTCAGACAAGCTCGTTAACCTTTTTATGGTAAGCCACTTCTCGGATTTGTCTTATGTCAGATCAACAAGTCAAAAAAAAAACCCTTTTGAAATGTGAGTATGACAGCTGAATGGCAGGTGACTCATAGTCGGGGATGATTCACAACCACATAATTGGGGACAATGATGATCGATGATTCTATACAAACACTCGCTCCATAACAATTTTTGAAGTAGGACTCGGAACTTTTGGTTCGTCTCGAAATGCTTTACTTCTAATTAATAGCAAAAAGAGTAAATAATCACACGCAAACAATTAGCACATGCTCCCACGAACAGACTTTCTTCAGCTTTCCATTCTTATGTAATTAAGCGAAACCTAGCAACCATTGAAGGTCGTTTACAATTGCTTCTAGAATATTCTGAATGGAAAGAAAACTAATTTCTGTCATAGGGAACAAGCAAATCAGAAACTCCTTAGAATTACACAAAGTTGATTTGAGTGATTGCAACAAATGAACAGTATCGAATTCTTAACAAAATGCATTTGAGAAATCGTACGAGTTAAAATGTTAGAAAGAGTTTCGAACTCTAAAGGCGTTGGAATAATGAAATAATAATAATGAAACGCGAAACTTAAATTCAATTTTTATAGGGAAATCATTCCTGTCTTACGCCTCGAGCAGAGTTCACGCGATTTCATCGGCGCCATTCATCGCGACAAGACAATTGTTACGAGTTCATTGCCTGCCGATCTTCTTGCATTTCGGTTGTGATAGTTAGTCACGATTAGTCGTGTCGGAAATCTATCACAATCGAAATGCAAGAAGATCGGCATGCAACATTATTACAATTGTCTTGCCTTGCCGCGATAAAACGCGATAATGAAATCGCGTGAACCTCTGCCCGAGGCCTTTGAGATCAAGTAAATCAGAATTTCCTTCGAAGTACCCAGCAACTAATATAGTTTGAGCATACAATCAAGAGAATCTAATAGACAAAATGCGTAGAAATTATTACGAGTTTCAGAGCTAGACAGTAGAAAAAGTTTGGAGGTTCAAAAAATTTCGCCG